ATTTTTCATCCCCATAGGCATAGTTAAATGTTCATACAACCCATATTTTGTAACAAATGCTGTTTTAGGAATATCTTTTTCCCTTACAGGTATCTGATGATAAGAACTTGTAATATCAAAAGTTGAGAATAGTGTTGCACCTGCTACAGCATCAAGACAATCTCTAGTTCTTGGTATAGGATAGCTGTCAGACTTGGTTACCTTATTAAGTGCACGGTAGTCAATACATGGTCGAACTTTTCCATCCTTCTTGAATACCAGACATAATGGACTGGCCCAAGGGCTTTTGGACTTAAACCTATTAAACCAACCCTTCCAAGTTTCTTTACCTGTAAAAGCTGGTAGTCTAGTTCTTTCTCTAGCAGAAACCCTATGTGTTCTATGTCTTACCTCTATAATGCCAGTGTCATCACTAGAAGAATCTGAGCCACTTACAACATACCTTTTATTCTTGCGCCTGTTCATCCCAGCTGAAGATGTTCTTTTACTTAACGTAGAAGGACTGGCTCCAACAACTTGAACATGACCTTGAGTACCTGACCTACCTTTGACCTCTGACATTAAATCTCCAAGACCCTGTGTTAAAGCATTATTAGATTGGCGAATAGTATCAACTATAGCAGTGGTCATATCTTTCAGTGCTTGCCCCATATCTGTGTTAGAATTATGCCTAAACATATCACCCATTACATTATCACCAACAGTTGAGGTGTCCCTGTTACAATTATCAGATAGCCCAGGATCTGTACATATACCCTCACTCAAATTCTGATTTTGATTAACATTAGGATGTACCCCTTCAAGTCCCCCAATCTCAAAATCTGTATCCGCATTACTTGTACAGTCACTAAAATCAGCACCTTCACCCTCATTGTCTCTCTTTTTAAGATTCTTTCTCTTTCCCATAATGCCTGAACATCAAAAATAATATTACATTAATCTCTTAAAAAAAAAAATACTATATTAAAAAAAAAATGGCTTAATTAAACACACATGGAAATGCTTAGCATTCAACATTGGTGTCTATATAAACTGTATCTTGAAGAAGCTTGTTTCTCCAACTCAACTTTCAGCAGCAAACTTTGTCAGGATCACAACTTCAACTTGCCTAGGTCCGCATCACTAGATATGCAGGATTCCATAACTCTACCAGTCTTCACTTGTATCCAGTAGGCTTGAAATTCTCAGCATATCCCACTTCTCTGACACCAGAAAAATATGTCAGGGTCCAGTGGGGCCGGCACTAAGAAATAACTTCAAATATGGTTCGAATCCTAGTCCATGCAAGGCGTCTTAAGCAATCAAGCTTAAGGAGCCAGACCCCAACACCCTTAATAACCTAAATGTGATAAATGAGAGACATGAGGGATGAAGTAAAAGCCATATCATGTTAAGTTTCAACAATATAATTGAAAAAAATCTTCAAAAAAAATGTGTACATATAAATTTCATAAATCGTTTATATCTGGGTCTGTAATCTGTGACTTCTTATAGACATCAGCTTCATATATGTTGGTCAAGATCTAGGTCATCATTATACTGGATAAAATATAGCATAACTCATCTAAACTGCACAGACATGAGAGTGTGATGAGTAAAATACTCATATATCACTGCTCAAACATAAGCACGTGCAGAAGAGAGTGAGATGAGATATATAAGCTCATATACCACTGCTCTTACACTAAAAACCATGCAGAGACATACACAGTGAGAGTGAGATAAGTGAGACACTTATATACCACTGCTCACACATTAAAAGCAACTTTAAGCAGGAACACAAGCATAAATATCTTCTTGATTTCAGTATCAAATATAACATTCTTTAAGTAGACTTATAAATTACAGGAAGGACTGAGAAATTAGCATAACTCATGAATGATTTCCATTCCAAAAACCCTGATTAATATATATTTAGATGAAAATTATCTCTTCTAATACAGCTTATGAAGTTTTATCAAATTTTCAGCATGAACATCAACTGAACTGTCAAACTGTAAAAGATTTCTTGACTAAAATGGCTTCTTGTCCAACTCGTTCCTTTCTGCATGTACATTCTTCTCTCTATCTTCATAAAAAAATATAACACGTGCAAAATGTAAACAATAACAAACGTCATCCACGCCCTGGATTCTGATTGGTCAGCCGCATCACACAAAAAAAATAGTCCCTAATTGAGATCAAAACTTCTAAGAAAATATGAAGGTCATCGGCCATCTTTAGCGTCCGTCAGCATCTTCTTCTAAAACAAAAATAAAAATGAACAAGAAACAACTTAACTGAACCATGGAACTTCCAACTGGTGAATCCAAACATCGAACGCCATCCTTACTTTCACTTTCGTCTGTATCCGGTTACACAGGCAGTCAAGAAACAACAAAAATATGTCTGAAAATTCTAGAAATCACTCTCGTGGATTAACCTTAACAATTTTTAGGCGTGCAAGAGGTCGATCAAGGGCGCGCTCGAGCTTATATATCATACGATGCTGGAATTGCAGGAAAGCTCTGCAGGAATCGTTGGAAACTGAAAGGTCGCTGTTCCGCCATTCCTCGATAAAACTTTAATGAGCCAAATCTAAATTAAACTTGCATGTACATTACTCAAAGACCATGTTGCTGTTTCTAAAATAAATCTTCCTACATATATATAGCAAAAATAACAATAGACAATGTATGAAATAATATTTATAGCCTGCATGATAAGTTTTACCGATTCCCGGAAGGGGTATTTAATTAACGGAATGTCGTAAACTCCAACAATTTCAACCAAGACACCCGCAAATCTTACGAAGAGCGATGAATATTAATTACACAGATAAAACAGAATTTTAAAGTGTTGACAGTGTACAATTACACCCCAGGTATCTTCAATGACCGGTAATTGATTGAATTAAACCTGTACTTTAATGTAGAACCAAGTAATTACGATATAATTTCTGTGACTGACAGCTTGCATGCCATATTTTCGGATAGGGCTGGATTCGGACTGTATAAGATAGTTGATCAAAATTTATCATTTCTCGTTTTTGTGATGACATCATGGGCCCCACAATACTTTGTAAAAGGAACAGATAACTCTTATTAAGTATTTCATTAAACTTAATCAAATGTATTTTCTCGCCTTTGCAAATACAAGTACAAGAAATAGTGTTGGTTTTCATAGTGTTGTTTTTCCTGTCATATGGTTGTGCAAATATCCATACAATTTCTTCGTTGTCATAAAACATGAAGTTGGCAGTAGAAGTGGCACAGCAGTGGCGGTAGCAAAATTATAAAACGTGAAGTTGGCAGTATCAGAAGCAAAATTAGGAAACATTTAATTGGCAGTAGCAGTAGCACAGCAATAGCAAATTTCTAAAACTTGAAGTTAGCAGTAGCAGTAGTACAGCAGTAGCAGTACCAAAATTATAAAATGTGAAGTTGGTAGTAGCAGTAGCTCAGCAGTAGCAGTAGTAAAATCATATAACATTAACTTGGCAGTAGCAGTGGCACAGCAGTAGCAAAATTATAGGCAAACTAGCAGGGCATTATAATTTTTTTTGCTGAATTGCTAAGCTAGCAAAGACATCTAGCAAGGCATTCCTAAATACAGAGTAAATATTCTTCCTGTTTTACTCCTTATACATGCCTCTGAAATTGTTGTTTTTATTGTGAAATCTATTTCATTGGTCTGCGTTTGTGCCTGTGACTGACATCCTCGAAGACCTCCAGGATATTGGTACAAATGAATAAATAAGCTATTTTGGGTTCTAGTACCATACAGTAGTCGATTTCGTTGGTATGCAACTGATTATTGGGCACTCGTAGATTGAAATAAATATTTAGTACCAATGCAGATACTGACATTTTTTACTCCTACGGGACCCACAAGTATCCATTTCTTTGGCCTTTGAATAATTCTGGGACACTCGTAGACTTTCAGAAAGTTCCGGTGCAATGGAAATTATGACATTTTTTACTTCAAAGGACCACTTTCAGGAATTTTGGTGTAAAATGCGAGTGGCTCATGACAGAAGTACCGCTTTTACACCTAAATAGGTTTGCTAAAAATAAACCTTTATAAGCAGCGATCAGGTATAGTATTTTTGTTTTAAAAGTTATAAATGCTATCTTATCTTATGCTGCGATGTCACAATTTATTAGGAGGAAACTTTAAAGGTCAGTGTTTATAAATCATCATGTGACTATATCAAGTCTAAATCTTAACTGTATTAAATTGCTCATTAATTAAAGTAGCTTTTACCTGAATAAAAATAAATAATCCTGATATGCAACATTGTCAAGGTCAGCAGTTTGTGCAAGGTAGTTAGTATAATAAACTTGTCAATAAGGTCTTAGAAGAATATAACATTTTCAAGTTATTGAAATATAATTTCAGTTACACGTATATTTGAATGATATTGATTTTCTTCTTCTTGACAAAGTTTTTTGTTATCTCCCTTTAACTATTATTTTCAGTTTTCACTTATGTTGTGCTCTAGTGATACTCGAACACTTGATCATGTTATCCAACTGTCTATGATGTTATCAATATTGTTTTATTCTGATTATTATTAAGCTTAAGACTTAAATATTAATCAAAAAAGCAAAAGCTGTGTTTTATTTAAGTCAATTCATTAGTTTCACATATTTCAACCGTTAGCAAATACAAAGCATTGTGAGAACCAGGGATCTAAGACTAATTTATAAATGGTAATAATAACAAGCATATCTGCAGACAAGAAGTAAGAAATTGTAATCATTTGAACGGTATTGATGTGTTGTTTGCAAGTGTGAAGTTTAAAATTAATTCAGACGTTCTTTTTGCCAAATATTTACTAGTCTTTTTATGTGGTGAGAAGACTTAGTGCAAATGTAACATCAGTCTGTACCGATACCACCAGAGAAATATAACAAAGATTGCCAAAGTTCAAGTTGTAGTGTATCCATTAGTGTAATATTATTAAGTTTTGGTGGTTGAACATTGTAATTTTGAAGAACAGAATACAAAAGCCCATAGGAGTGTAAAAATAAAGTTTTATTATTGAATATGTTTTAACATAGTTAAAGTAAAACATAATTGCTTGAAGCTATGTCTATATAAATGAAACATTTTCAGTACAACCTACAACATATTGCTTAAAGATATACTTATGCTCAAATTTGATGTTTGAAAATATTGATAACTACTACACAGCCTCTTTGTAAATATAAAATAAACATGATTCTGCTTCATTGAAAGTTGAAATGTTATGTATTGAACTCTAAACACAATAAGTGGTCACAATATGAAAATATAGTGTCATTAAAAAACATTATGAAAAGACCATCTTGACTTTTAATAGGGAATTCAGCTTTCAATACAAAATTTTAACACTTTTGTACTCGAATTAAAACCAATCATTTCATGGATTTCAATAAATGTCTGTGATAATAATATTTTACTCAAAGATGAGCATAGTATATCTTTAAAGCAAGGTCAATAAGGAATATGGCGGAATACAAACTAGACATATACATCAGATAAAATTCAATCATTCATTTCTGTGTTGAGGCACATCAGCATTAAATGAGTCAAATGGCAATTTTTCAGCTTTAAATCGTGTATGAAGACATCATATACCACACATGCATTATTTCAGGCGCAAACTTACGCCTTAGTAGAACCACATAATAAATGGAACGTCTGTGACCTTCTGTATTTACTATTGATTGTCAACTCAAGACATGATTGTCAGCAAAAATTAAACATTTCTTTATTAAGGTCCAAAACACACTTATATAAAACAACTGATGTGTAAAGTAATTCATAATTCGGAAAAGATCAATAAAATCAAATAAAAGTACATTCCACAGTTATCACATTTATTCTAGAGTAAAGCTTTTATACAGTTATTTGTAAATCTTAGCGTCAAATAATGTTTTTTATTCAAGATTTCCCAGTTTTCGACAAATTGCATGGACCAAGCACCTGCAGAAATTCCAGGTTCAAGTGAGCTATCTGGTTTCTAGGAATATGCATGATACCTTTTACACTAGTCAATTAGTCATTAACACAATCAAAAAATTAAAGATTTTATATAGAACGTAATCTCACTTACATTGGCACACGCACATAAACAAGCACTTACACGCATACAATATTTTTTATCGTTTAATTAACACTGATATATAAAACCCCAATACTTTTCTGAGAATATGGGTTACTACATTGATTTCTTCGTCACTTTGCTTCCAGGAGTTTGATTTCATACATTTGGACACTTCAGATTGTTGTCTTGGAATATTGCACCGAAGATTTAACACTGCTGAAACGGCTACACATTTTGCCATTCACGAGGTTTTTGAAAACTTGATAATAAAATAATGCAAATTTATCGCAAGACTTATCAATAGCAAAACATATACAAGGATATATTCTTACCCTCAACACGACGATTGCAAAATGTATCAGTCGAGTATCTATTTATATATTAAGGTTATTCATAGCAAATATATGGCGATGAAGTTATTCAACGATCATTTCGGTTTCTGTAGACGCTTTCATGATTTCTATACTAGCAGAGCCTTCGATTGAGTTGAGTTCTTTCGAGTTGAATACCAGCAGAATCATTTTATTTCCGGCCTTTTCAGGAGTAAAATCACACGTGAACGTGAACTTGGACTTCGCCCCTACATCGCTGAAAGATGAAAAAAGATCAGATACATTCTGATTAATTCAATTTACTCATGTACAGTCCAATTCACTTTTTTAACTTCAATGTGATTTTTAACTTAAACAGATACTCAAGGAAATTATGTGTTGTATATTATCTTAATTTGACATAAATTCTTAATCGAGCCGTTTTATAATTAATACTTGGTTGCAAATAAACTGTTAACTTGGCTACACATAAAACATTTATTAAATTGAGTCTAAGTTGATATTGAACTACTGTCAACAAATGACATAACTTGCAATAAACAACAATAAAGTGCATGTTTAAGGTGCTAGCTAGAGTAATATGTTTATAATTTTACTGAAATATATGCACAAGACACGAAACAAATATAGGTAAAAATAAATGTAAATGTATTAAGGTTACCTTTGAGGATACGTTTTAGCAGTCTGAAGACCAGGTCCTTCTGCTTTTATCTCACATTCGGTCATTTTTATATCAAGAGGATTTTCAAATGAGGCTTCAATCGAAAATTTCTCCTTGACTTTTCCCTTTTCTGGAGCCTATACATTAACAAACAAGTATACGATAACGTTTATTTTTTCATTGCACCGAAACATTTAATGTCATGAACAATAAGCTTTCAATTTCAATTTCAATTTATTTACAAAATGCACAAGTCCCACAATAGCGGGAAACATCAGCAGTATACATACATAAACATATACAAATACATAATGGAAAACGGCTATATTACATTAAAATTTTTTAGGATAATAGTAATATATAGTTACAATTTGGTGAGAAAAAATATATATTATAGTAAAATATTTAGTATGACTAATGGATCAAATAGAATGTTTACACCTTTCATAATAACCTGAACAAAACGAAACGAAAGCCTATCGAAAAAAACAAACACGAAAGATATCCAGGTTATAAATAGGTTCTAACAATTTAACATTCATTTCAGTATCAATTGTTTGTAATGAAACAGAAAGTTTCATATTTGAATCTTAGATTTGCTTGAGAGAAAAATAAAATGTGCGAAACGTACTTTATAGCATAAAGATTGTAATTTAATACTTAATGTAAAAGTGTGAAATTATATATATTATACATATAGCCGAGATGACATAGTATTTCAAATATCTTAAGATATTATACTTTTCAAATTTCAACAAAGGTGATTGATTACATGTTGCATAATTTCAACCTTTTTATGAAAGATAGAGAGAGACTTATATTAAGTACGTATAACAAAGAAACAAATTTTCTTTTAAATAATTCAAATGCCAAATAAATAAATATATTTATATGCTTTAGTCAATATATAATTCTTAATTTTGTATATTTAACAATATAAACTTAACTCTTTCATGATACACAAGAAAATAAAAATAATGCAATATATTTGCAGCATAAAGAGCATTTTTGTCAGTAATGTCATTTCAGAAGAATAGTAAATATTCTAAATTTTCTAAAAAATGTAGTATTTTAATGTTTCACAATGTGACATATAAGTTTTAGTGAACCTTTCATAAACATCCTATGTGAACTATGTGAATAAAAATTACAGAATATACTGTTTTAAACAGAATTCATTAATATCTAATACATAAACATGGTATATTAGTATGTTGACATATTTCATCTACCAATACCTTAATCTACAGTGTACATAACATAGACAATATATGTAACATAGAGAATAATCAAGAAAAAACAAAATATTGCATAATTTTATTACAACAGATACTTAAATTTTCTAATTTCTTCATATTTCTGCAGTTTAATAGTTCTATGAATTTAAACATACTTGGTCTTTGTCGGTAAAAATTATCTATATATTTTCTTCTTTCGTTTTCAAATATTGGACATTTAAAAATGTAATGAAATTCATCTCCTATATCTCTACAAAGAGTGCATTTACGATCGTTTATGGGTATGTTTTGCCAACGTCCCGTTTCAATTGGAAGTCGATGGTTCCTTGTTAAAAACATAAAAAATTTCCTAGCAAAATACAGAGGTAATGTGTCTATGTAAGCGCTTCTACAAAAGTTTTCTTTTATATATTTATACAAATTTGAGTCTGACGTATTGTTAATTTCAGCTCTCCAGCTTTGAATATAGATATCTTTTAACTTTTGAAAGTTTGCTTTAATAAGCCATTTACTACTGCTAAAACATTGAGCATACCATATTCCAGAAAAACCTGTCTCACATAAATATTGTTTAACATTTTCTATCCAGAGTGACTTAACTAAATAATTATTTTGTAGTTCCCTTAAAACAATATACAACTTTGATGATAGTTTCGCTGTTTCATTACTATTTATATTATCAATAAGTCTTGTCCAGTATGATACAACCCTATTTTTAATATGAATTTTTAAAGGAAAATGCCTGTCTCTCCGTACACCATATAAGACGGTGTAGACTTTTTTAAATTAAAAATATATTTGTAAAACTTCAGTTGAACTTTTTCCAAAACAGAAACATCGCCAAATCCCCAAATTTCACTTCCATATAATAAAATTGGTTTGATTGTCTTTTCAAATAGTTCAATTTGTAAATCAAACGGTAAAGCTAACAATTTAATTTTCCTTAACAATGCAAACATAGCTTTATTTGCTTGTTCTGCAATTGCAATTTTAGATTTATAAAAAGAGCCACTTTTATTAAAGTATATACCTAAATATTTATATTCATTTACAACTTCAAGAACGTTTTCTCCTATTGTAAACACTTTACAACTTTTAGGACGGCCTTTACTGAAAATCATAATTTTTGTTTTGTTTACATTAATGTTTAATTTCCATTGATCGCAGTATTCTTTGAATTTATTTAAAGCAATTTGAAGATCTTCTTCATTATCACTGAATATGACGGTGTCGTCAGCGTAAAGTAAAATAAAAAGTTTCAAATAAACCCGCACCCCTTCAACAAAAGCTTCTCTAGAAACTCCATTTACACCACTACTATTAAGAATAGCTTTCAAGGTCATTCAAGAAAACTGAGAATAAAAAAGGAGACATGTTTTCCCCTTGACGTACCCCAACAAGACAGTCGAAAAAAGGCGTACATCCTTCAGAAGTTACCACTCGCGATTTAATGTTATTATAAAGACTTTTAATGACATTAAAACATTTTCCATTTATATATTATTTTGTCTCAATTTTTGCCATAATCCAACCCTCCACACGGAATCAAAGGCCTGTTTAAAATCAACGAAACAACAATAAAGTTTTTTCCTATTGGATTGTACAATATCGATTAGACATTTTAGAATAAAAATATTATCAACAGTAGAAAAGTTTTTTCTAAACCCTGCTTGTGTTTCATGTATAAGAATTCGTGCTATCAGCAAATTTATTCAACCTTTGATTTATTATACATGTGAAGAGTTTTCCAAAGCAACTTAAAAGTGATATTGGACGATAATTTTCAGGTAATTTAACATTCCCTTTATTTTTATATATAGGTTTAATATGTCCTATAGTCCAGCTCTCAGGAATAACACCTTTATCAAAAATAATATTAAAAAGTTTTTTATAAATTTTTAACATCAAGCCGATAGAATTTTTCATATGCTCGTTAAGAATTTGATCCACCCCTGGTGACTTATTTGTTTTGAGACTTTTAACAGCATCTAAAATTTCTTTTTCTGTTATAGGGCCATTTATTTCCTCGTTCATTGTAGCATCATAGCCTGTATAATTTTCATTTCTATAATCATTATCATCAGCAGCTGTATTATCATTTAGACGTTTGAAATACTCAAAAAAGTCATCAAGGGAAGCAATATTTTCTTGTTTAACATTTGTTTTATTAATAATCTTCCAATATTGCTTAGGGTCAGTATGCTTTAATTTACGTAGCTTGATGATTGTATTATTATTAAAATTATTCTTCGCCTTTCGTAAAGTACCTTTATACTGTTTACTTACAGATTTTAATAGTTCTTTGAAATATGGAGTTTTAAATTTATTGTAAGCTTTTCTAGTTTTATGATAGGTATCTCTCATCATATTACATGACCTATCAAACCATGGAAATGTATTCTTTTCACTTGATTTGTCTGGTTTTTGTGTACAAAACCCAAAAGAAATTTCTGAACTTTCTTGAAACAAATTTGAAATATTAAATACAATATCATCCAGTTCATTTTGTAAAACAATATCATTCTCGTTTAATTGGTCAAGTTTCATTTCAATTTCAGAAATCTTAAAAATATCAAGATTTTCAGCAAACAATTCAGTCTTTTTGCAATCCCATAATATTGGTTTTGGGGTAAATCGTTTACATTGTACCGCTGTATTAACAATGTCACATGATTTAACTTTAATTACAGCCTCTAGAGCACAATGCACATCAGAAAGCAGGCTGCAAAAGTCATGAATTTTAAAGTCTACAACATTTTCAAAAATCGTTAGAATATGTACAATATTCAAAATATTATTGTAAAAAGACACTACACAGTTAAAAGTAAAAATATTTTTTGTCTTTTGCAATAAATAATATTTTATCCTATACGTCATACTTTCGAAGTATATAGCTAATTTTGATAGCAAAAACTAAGCTTAATGTCAAATGGGAATAGTTTGTAAATATGAAATAAGTAAAGAATATAAAAACAAATATAAAATAGTTTATCAAAATGCTTATCTACCTTGACTGCAAGTACTGGCTTCCTCAGAGGCATCGTTTGTATATCTGAGAATATTTGACCTGTTGCTTCAACTTTACACATACACGACACACGAATAAAGCATCCCTCTGCCAAGTTTCGGTAGTAGTATTTGAATGGAACATTGAAAGGCACCACGATTTCTGTTTAATAAAATGGTTCGTGTGTTAATGCGAGTGTTGTCTTTTATTATATATCGCAAGGTTATGATGAACAAATGTACATTAAAATGCCAAAATAATATGATTTTTTGAAATAAGGCAAGGTTTATCATTGAATGTTATAAAAGCAACTGTTGATCGAAAATGATATTATTTTATTTCTTCTTGACAAAGTTATTTGTTATCTCCCTTTAACTGTTATTTTTATGTTGTGCTCTAGTGATACTCGAACACTTGCACATTTTATCAAACTGTCTTTGATGTTATCAATATTGTTTTATTCTGATTATTCTTAAGCTTAGACTTAAATATTAATAAAAAAGCTGTGTTTTATTTAAGTCAATTCATTAGTTTCACATATTTCAACCGTTAGCAATTACAAAGCATTTTGAGAGCCAGGGATCGAAGACTGTAATTTATGAAAGGTTATAATAACATGCATATCTGCAGACAAGAAGTAAGAAATTATAATCATTTGAACAGTATTTATGTGTTGTTTTCAAATGAGGCTTCAATCGAAAATTTCTCCTTGACTTTCCCTTTTTCTGGAGCCTATACAATAACAAACAAGTATACGATAACGTTTATTTGTTCATTGCACCGAAACATTAAATATCATGAAAACAATAAGCAGAAATCGTTAGAATATGTACAATATTCAAAATATTATTGTAAAAAGTCACTATACAGGTAAAGTAAAATACTTATTATTTGTATAATGTAAGAAATGAAAGAGTTGGAAGAAATCAAGTAATAAATTGTTAAGATTGCATTGCGACATTTAAAGGGAGTTTGGTGAAGGAGACAGATGCATATACAGGAACTATTTACAGACAGAATAATTGAGTGCAACCATCTTATTCTTTGGATTAACACATTAATATGTCTTTATATAAAATAAGTCGAAAAACATTAAGAGTAATGTAAACAATTCAACCAGATCGGAGAGAAATACTTTTTTCTTTTTAACAAGATATGCAATATTCAGGACAGCCGTCTGATTAAAATATACATGAGTATTATTGCTGAGACGCGATTTAATTTAAAAGGTCTAATTTTTGTGGACCTACCATCGTTTGCTTGTATAAACCTGTCTTGTCCTGACAGTTGGCGCCACAAAACTTCATTATCAACGTCTCCCGTATAGTCTGTACATGATATTGTTACACTGCCAGATATCATTCTTGCCTCTTCTTCATTGTTCTTCACTTTCAAACTCAAATCTATTGGATCTCCAACCATAATGTTATCCTTTATATCAATACTGAAGTTCACTTTCTGAAATATTTCACTACAACAATATATTACAACAATAGCATTAGTCTTTTATCTTGAAAAGGCATTTCTTGTTTAAAAACTCAATAATTTTTAATGTTTCTCTTTCTTTACACATATCTGCCAACTGTTTAATCTAAATATTTATGAAACTTCAATATTTACTAGAGAATCATATGTATAAACAATTGACGTACTACAAGTAAATATTTTTATTTTATGAATTGTGTGTTATAAAAATACATTACTTTGTTGCTAACTAAAATTATCATAAAATAACCATCCCAATATTTTCATACGGTTATCCTATTTGTTTACATATTGTTACGAAGAAATAAACTGGTTTATTAAGTTTATTAAACATGTTTATGTGATATTATCATGTCCATCAAAGTACAAGGCGAATGTATAGATAAAAGTCAAAAGAAGTTCATATGTTACCATAATTCTTTTCAATTTCATAATTTACTTCGCGTGAACGATTAATACTGAGTACCCAAGAAATGTCTGTGAATATCCATCGGTATTTACCTGTTACGTTCAAATTATGAAAAAGAGGGGACAAACTTATTATATTAAAAGCCGATTTGTATTTTATTCTAGACAGTTATCAATTCTAGGTCAATCACCATTATAATAGTCAATCTTTCGAAAGATACAGTCAATTCAGCACAGCTTGACAATAAAAAATGAGCATAATGTCACTTTGAAATATCTTGTTCAATATCTACTTACCCATTTTTTCACATCTTCGTAGTAATATTTTCTGGTTGATTCCATGTTAGCCTTACGAACAGCTGCTCTCTCTTCTTTGCTGTCTAAACATAATCGTTAACTAATAAATCTTAATCACGTACGACATTTCAAATGCTGTCATAATAATAAAGGGAAATAATAGACAATAGCATTAAATGTTATCTAATAAAGTTTGAAATAATTACGGACAGAGAATATTTCTATGAGCAATTGAATTTTTAGATGTTCGTAGATACACGTGAAAGATATACTTGTATCATCATTCCTTATACTACACTAAATTTACTATAATTGTCATTGGCTTTAAACACACCATTCATTGCATGCTTACCGTCAAGGTTCTCAGTGGAATATATCTATATCGTGTATCTACTTTTGGCTTCAAATTTCATTGCTTGATATAACACTACTGAATTTTCACAAAATGTTCAGGAAACATAGATAGGCTTTATAGACATGACAAAATCTGTAGTCATGTTCATGTTTCCTGTGTATAATTCGTGAAAACTTTTCGTTTTGACAAACAATCAGTGTATAAAACATTATACAAAATATTTTAACAGTAAAGATAAGTTCATAATTCTTACGTTCAAATACACATATCTTTTGAATGACCTATCTTTACGTTGACATATGCAAACCCGTGACAAATTGTAATATTCCGTTAATTTCCGTATGAAATAAAGATCATTAACATGAAAAGCAGCAAAAAATGTATGTGTCAATGTTTAAACACTAGGTACGAAGCTGACCTTAAGCAAAATCTTCTGTCTTATTCGAAAGAAAAAATGACACCAACATACTTTCGTCGAATTTGTACTGATTCGTAATGTCTTCCCTAAACGGAGTATCCCAAAATCCTCTGCTAATATCCGGCTTTTGACCGATCGGTTTCTTTGTGCTGATATTCTTTCCGATGCTAAAACAATATTTATTGTTTGCATTTAAAATTCCATACGAAAAAAATATATTCAATGTATTTTTATCAAAATGTTATATTTATACGGAGACAAAAAAGTAATTTAATCATTCATTAAATAAAAACCATTAAAGAATAAAGTCATAAATCTTGTCTGAGAATTTGAAGTTTTAATATTAAAAGTAATCAAAATAGCCTTCGGAATGGCACCTTGTACCTACATAATGCACGCAAACTATATAAAGCAGAAAAATTGCCACATGTCCTTTAAATGCATTGGCATTGCTTTAAACCAAACAAAAATAAGAACAACTAATACAAAACAGTAAAAAAAACGAGTAACATAACCGTTAGTACTATTCTAATATAGTAAATATTGATGGTTAGTGCCGAAATTCAAAAGTATTAAAACATAAGATAGTTATAATGCGTGCCTTTCTGTCTGTATGTTTGATAATTGCATATTTCCCATCTCGTCCGGCACCCATGTCAATCGGTCGGCATTAACCTCAGAAAATGAAAAGGGACCATCATACTGGCAATGTAAATCGCCTTGTTTAATTGCCTTCACGGACATAGGTCCCATTTGAAACCTCACTGAAATAGTCAATATAAAAAATATGTAAACATACTATACTCATGCACATTTAAAGATATCTGCTTTAAGCAAACAATCAAATGGCAGAATTAAGATGACCTGACAACCACTTTTCTTTTTTTCTTTTGAGAGATAATGATTGCGAAAAGTATTTCTTGAAAAAAGTCTTCCACCAATTATGATTCTATTTCATTATAACAATAAATAACTGAACGTGACCCCGCCCGCCAATGTAAACAGATAAGGAACTAGAACCAGTTCACGAATCATTTCAAGCATACTTTAAATCCTAGAACAATGACTTTAAATTTATAATGACAATATAGATCGACTACATGGGGTTATAGAATATAGTTTTACTTACTCTCACTTCTTTCTTGTGGAGTGGCGTCAATAGCTTGCCATCCGTCATAATTATCACCTTTCAAATCTGGCCTACGCATCCAGGCATCATTCCAAACGTGGAAGTTCCTTCACATGAAAAATATAACGACTTCATGGTGACAATAAGCAGAAATGTTTAGTTATGACCAAGACTATAACATAACGATTATAAACATGTTTAATTTATCAACTATGGAATGTCAGTGCAATACAACATATATATCATAATTTGAGCAAATTGTTATTTTTGATCTTACTAAAATAACATGGTTTATTCCATTTGTTTACAAAATGATCGAATGAAAGATTAGTGATAAACGATCTCCAAGACAACATGATAAATATCATTGCTGCGTTTCGGGCTTGCGTACCGAAATCTTTTTGGTGTAAGAACACTATCAATCAAGCTTACTAATACTCTGTATGTTGACCAAGATTTTTTTTAAACAAAATAGCTAAAGTGACCAAATATGTGTTAAAACTAAAGTGTACATGAAGCTTCGTGTAAAATGACAGTTTGAGCAAATAAGAAAGTAAGTTAACAGATAACTAGGATCAATACTTAATTAACCTAACGCAATTGTGAGAGTGCCAATATGATAAGAATGGAATAAATAGACATTTTTAAAAACTAAATACAGATATAAAATTGTACTGAATGTTTTCTTGAACATGCTCATACCAAACAGAATCCCCGCTTAGATGCTTGATTTCTTTATAATTCTTGTCGTAATAGGTATCTATGGATACACTTCCATCTGTATCATGGGCCGATGCAAAGTTGGTTACACTTCTTGCCGGTATCCCAAGAGCTCTACATACTTAAATATATGAGTAAAATTCCTTCTTACAGTTTTATTGTGTATGTTTAATCGGCATAAATTGCATTTTCGTTTTAGTACTCAATATTTCAATGCACAACTCTACAAATCCTTTCCTTGCTTAATTATAAAAAAGTAAAACTCCAGAATATGATTGATCAAGTACAATGTACACATGTAAGTTTCTTACCTGTTGTAACTACCCCTGAGAAAACCCAACACTGTCCGTACTTTACTGGCTGCTTTTGTTCAAAATAATCTTGCAAGATGGCGACACTTCCGGTCCAAGACCAAGGCACCTTTCCAGGTTTGTAGTCCTCTTCTTTGTCCGCCCATTTTCCCGTTAGTACTCCATAGTTATCACTGCTATTGACCTATTGAAATGTATCCACTCATTTCTTTGTTAAGTGTCAAATAATATATTCCTTTTACAACTATATTTTTCACTTTAGCATTTGCTATTATTTACAATACGATTAGACGTTCTTGAAAGATACCGTCACAAATTCTTTTAAGAAATGTAGTAATGTTATGAACATTACATTGATCAATACAAAAAGCATTTTATTATATTTAGCTATCAAGAAAGATTTTTTTCAAATGTGAACAGTTTACACTTTTTAAATGAATATTCGTTTGTTTTGCAAGCTTATCAGCAAAGTTTGAAAATCATCTTCATGTTTGTCATACACAGTTATATGAGTTCCTGACATATGTAATCAATCATATAATCTTTTGAAAACTATCAAACGTATATACATATTCCATATAAATATCTAAATATTTTTAAGAAATGATTAACATTACAAAGCTAGATATTGCTCTTGAAACTTTAATTGGATCCCCTCTGTAAATATCCTTTACTCTTGATTTCTCGTCTAAAAGGTACATCGCACATTCGAGAACCTTTCCTGTGAACTAAAATATAAAGTATGGAAGCATTTTAAATAACATTATATTTGAGATTCAAGAATACATGTGGGCTGAATGGTAAGTTCGTGGAATATTTCTGCAAAACACGTATATACTTTACTTTACGCTTCCACTTATCAACTGACACAACATTGCAGATGACGTAGTAAGACAAAATAGGTAGTCAATATTGTTATCTGTAAACATAGAAACTCATTCACTGCATGCTGCCATGCACAGTTTTTCATTATTCAAATCAGTTTATTTTGTAAAAAATGTTTTACAAAAAAACAGAAAACGACGTCAATCTTACAAAAACAAGAAATCATTTCCGTTAAATATCATACACACAATTACGTTAGAATAATAACTTTTATAGTACACTGAAATCATTATTTAGTTTTGACCCCTTTGAGTCGCCAAAAAGGGGAAAAATGTGCGTTATGATTTGATTTTCCCGCTTATAGACAAAAGTGTAGAAATGATATATTCGTTCAAGCTGAAGTTTATTCACTACCATAAAACTAATAATGTTAAATTTCCATTTTTCTTGCTTTTTAATGAATTTCGATCTGTTTAAGAATATGTAGACATGTATAATTTTATACATGTTCAAAAAGTTAGCCAATACTTCTGCTTATATTCAATTGGTTATAGCAAATGCAACAGTTAATTGCAATAGCAATGGCTCTGGTGTAAGGTTTGTCAGATCTTTTGTAAAACCAATGTCCTTGCGAGTTATGTTGGAATTATATTATTGTATTACGTGAGAGAATGTTTAAAGACCATTTAGATTTTGGCTTAAATTTCTTACCTGTCCAAATAACCATTTTCTAGGCATAATACTCCTGTATGATCCAACATATATTTCACCATCTTCATTCAATACATATTCTTTTAAAAGCTCACTATCCATGTATACTTGGTCCTCTAAGAAGAAATAAAATTTTGGTATTAGGTTGTGAATTAATAAAATGTCACATTCGACTGATTTATCACCCGCTATCTTTATTTTGAAACATTTTAAGAGTGTTTAAAGAGTTATTAATTTCTGTTTTGCAAAGAGGTATGATAAAAAAGCAATAGTCATGATTATGAAAATACATACGTTTTTTGAAGTTTAGATTTGACTTTACTTCGGTAACCAACAATTGTCAGGCAGACACACTTACCAAATCAAATTCAATAGATTACTCAATCATGGTCTTTTTAACAAGCATTGACATTTCCATTAAGTTTATTATTTAATGAAGCCGGGATAAAATGTAAAACTAACCTTTGCACCAAGGATTAAAAAGTATGTACACAGGATCTTTGTGAATGTATCTCTCAATTTCCTCCTTAGTAATGATATCAACTTTCATGGACCATTTAGCAACAGCACAAGTTGGTGGAGGTGTTACTGATAGACCAAGCCAGTTGCCTTCCAATGAGGTGATAGCAGTTTTCCATTCATTCTTTGGAAGGTCCACGTCAGTGAGTAATAATTCTATTCGACTTCCTTTCGAGGGCAATGGTCTAGGCCCTAGAACGCGAAAAGGTTACGTAATAAACACATAAATATGATATTTAACATTGAGACAAATACATTTTCCCTCTATATTTTATTTTGGTTTGATTTTTATAAAATATTATTGAGGTTACATATCAACTTTATAGCTTAACTATTTGGTGACGACTTCAGATGTCCCTCCGTGCACTAACCTAAGGCACAAACTGAAAACTGAGCAGAACCATTTAACTTCAGTAAACTAACAAGATAATTTTCATGATTAATGCCACTTTAATATTGCCAGGGGAAGGAGCGTTGGGGATGATTCTCTTCCCCATTATTCCCCATGAACAGACTAAATCGAACCGTGTCTGTAATTTGCATGTAATAATGTTGTTTTTATTGCTTCTGATGCATCTTTTCTTTGACAGAGTTTTCTCTCTGGTAGGATTCAAGCCTATCAAACCTTTTTATTTGTAAAGTCCTTGAGAACTACTAAGAATATGCAAGCCACATATAAACAGAAGCAGTTCTTAATACGATATACGTAAACTTTGTCTTACCGAATTCAAAAATAACTTTAACAAAATCTTTAGTTTGATCATATGGCCGTTTGAACTGTATCTTCATATCAAAGGACTGTCCACGCCTTACAACAAGTTGTTCAGTAGTATCATAAACTAAACGGTCAGTAATATCAAATTCGTTAGTATGGTGAGCCACCACATTTGCTTTGATGTTAAGATCGACCTTTGTAACTGTAAACTCTGGTGAAATACTAGCTTCTGAAACCGATAAAATAATAGAGAAAATACATAATAGCTAATAATAATAACCGACGAATTTAAACTCTCATCTTAAGAAGCAATCACATGAACAAAAATATTCAAAAGACAAGAACCAACAGTCATTTCATAATGAGAGATTTAAAAAAGTTGATTGGTGCTTTTAAATACGGAAACAAAGTCAAATGATAATATAGAAAACAACAACAACAAACTAAAAGTATCCCCAATAGCGTAATAAATGCGTTAATAGCGTAATAAATGCGTTTATATATTTATTAGAATCTTTGACGGTGATGTTAACAATATTTGTATTAAGTTTTGAGAATATAATGAAAACATTCCCATTTGTTACATTCGCAAATAAATAGCTTTCAAATACATTCTTTTATTTAAAGAGAATTGAAGAGTTATGTGAAAGCGAACAAATATATAATGCATTTTGTTATGTTTAGTGTCATCATGTTTACGGAAAAAAGTATACAGAATTTTTACGAACTTATGGACGAAATATCCCGTAACACGGATAAAAATATGTCTCTAAATGTTCCTTACCAACATCCATTTTGTCCTCTTCCCCCTCTGTGGTTCTTATGGTTACACTATCTCCAAGGGTCCTCTCCTCAAATAAACTCCGAATTCTATCTACTCGACCTACTACGTCACTTTCATTTCCTGCATCCCCGCTCATTGTGCTAACCTTTATGGAAATATAAATTAGTAAAATTTTATGTGGTTTGCTTATGTCATGATCATATAATATATAGAACATGTTTGGCATGTGGCATTTATGTTAATGTCAACGAATTACCTGCTCAAACCAAAAATAATTATCCTTTACGACCAGTATAAAGCTAGACCAGCCTGAGCATCCGTGTAGTCTGACCAAGCTCTACACTGTTGGTAGCTTAAGTTTTATGTTTTATGATACTGGACTCCCTTAATTTTTATAGACTCAAAGTAAGACAGATTAATTAATTAAGTAGTTAACAACTCTGCTGCAGTGTTACATTTTTGTTGTATGCAACATGATATAGATAAACAGTTCGAAGTTTTAGTTAAATCAATTCAGTTCAAAACACATGAAAACGCTAATATTACCTTAGTTAATTCAACAGAATTAAATCATTTTGAACTATGAAGTCTGTCTTTGACAAACAAAAAACTTGTTTTTAAGAACTTTTGATATTCGAAATGGTATATCAATTACCATATGTGTGCGGTAAAATAACATAATTGCATTACTAAATGAGTATCTTAATCTGAAACTTGTTTGTTTTAAACAGGAATGGTGTTTTCTAGATTTGGATATTGCAAGACGTGGAAGCTAGTAAAATCCAATAGTCATATACAAGTTAAAAGTCAAAATACAGTTACAATCATCTTTGAATTTTTGTTAAATATCCAAGTAAAATGTAAAAGTTTCGCGTCAGCAAAGTATTTCCATATAAGATACAGTTGAGTCCCTTTAGTTATAGAAATTATGTAGGTTTGTAAACTGAATATGATTCTTTAAATACTTCGTCAATTTTGCTTACTTTAATCGTAATAATAACCAGTGAAGAATAATTATTCTATAATGATTAAGGAAAGAAAATATTATCTATGCTGAGAGAGAACCTCTAAAGAAGGATCAATTTTCTTTCATATTAATATAAAGATATGAAATAGCGTTTCGTCGTTTTTATTCCGATGTCATCTTTATCTAAGCTATAATTGCATATCAAAAAATGAATTGTGTTATGTTTCTAGATTAAATCATAACTATAAATTTTAAGATGAACAACAGAAGAAATTATTCTGAATTTGAATCAATCATGAATGTTATTAAATTATTTTATTTTCAAACAACTTAAACTAATAAAGTATTTTAAAAAATAACTACGTCCGCATAAACTCCTTATGTCCTGCGTTAATAGTGCATTTGATCATTTTCCGACTATGAGCAATGTATATTTGGACACTTTAACCTTGAACAAATAAAAAAAATCATTATTATTGTTATTTTCAACCACTTGGTTTAACAAAAAGACTGAAGTATCAAATAATCAACTGATATTCATTCAAATGTGAGCCGTTTTTAAATTAGCAGGTTTTTTTGCATATTGCGTCTTCTGTGTGCATTATTTTTTTTAATATAACTTGAAAAAGGTAAATTACATATTCTATTTAAGTTGCTTTATTTCTGATTATTTTTTTTCAATGTTATTTCTTGTCATTACAAATTTCTTTGGTTCACCAAGCAAATAATTTTTATATTGTTGTATTGTTGATAAAGTAGAAAACTAATTTGATACTCTAACATTTAAATGGGTTCCACTGAAAAAACCCTACTCCTTTAAACACCTAAAAACATAAAATTTGAAATTCTGACATACATCAAGTGAGGCAATTAAAATGGAAAAATATGCGAAGAATAATAAAAGAATATACTTTATATGAATATCGACATTTTGCGCGATTCATAGCCCATTTTGAGTGAAAAGCGTTTAAAGTTTAAAGCGCTTTTCATTTTGTGGTAATTTTGCACAATAAAGATACTATTCTGGCAATGGTCAGGAAATTTGTGCACCCTTACCACGCTAAATATTTTAAATGGACTTGTAAGTCTTTTACTGTGGACTAAACCATTAATCATTTTAAGGAAACTAATAAAATAATATGCACAGGCTAAATAGCGAACGGACTGATCATGGTTTGTTCTTTTCGCAAAGGTAGAAACAGTTGCAACCATGAGGTTTAATATATCAATATAATATTTAGTGTCATATGACTGACTACCTGTAGTTATCATAAATACTCGCAAACTATTTCAGGCTTTATTGTTCTTGACTAACATCCAATACATATATTGTTTAGAAAAGAGACAGGGTTAGGATAAAAGGACCACCCTGCCTTTTTGTCTCATATTTTGGTGCCATACATTTATACTTGTCATTGGAAATTTTCACCGAATTATTTGTAAACATATATTGTATTGATATTTTCACTGTATGTAGAGGACATGCTCTTATATTTGTCTCTTGTAAAATCGTGTACGTAAATTAAAAAAAATGGTCACAGTAGAGCTGCAGTCCTATTACTATTTGAACATTACTCCTCGTAAATGTCTACCATTTTACAAATGACTATCTCATTGTCTATCTGCTTGCATAATCTCATTAAAAAGGGTATAAACATTTCTAGAATGGCTTATTT